CGTGGGGAGGCTCCCACCGGCTGCCTGCCCAGGGACTGGATTGTTTGATGCAGAGAGGCCTGGGCTACTCTGTTCTTATACATCTCCTTGATAGATCTGAAAATGCAGCTTGGAGAGTTTGTTTAGAGTGTCTGTCCCTCCAGATAGAAAATTCTTGGCCTTGCCTGGAAGGGGAAGATTCTAGCCCCTTCCTTTCTGGTAGGGCTTCCCTGAGGTCAGGGCCAGCAGGGGACAGGCAGACTGCTCAGATGAGGGGCTTCCCAACCCCCACCCTGTCCATAGCTGCTGCGGCACAGACTGACTGGCCCACCCAGCACTGCTTGCTGTCACTGGCTCTATTTCCATTGCTCGAGGCAGATGGCAGGAAGCAGTGGTGGGCGTTGTGTCGTGCAGGCCCCTGGGGAAGCTTTGGGGAGTCTGGATTCTCCACTCACCCCTGGTCACAGACAGACATGGGCCAGGCAGCTCGCCTTGTTGGGGGAGACAAAGTTGTCATGAGTCCCTGAAGATGCATGCATGCACATATGCACACACACACACACATATGTACACATGCCTACAAACACACCTATATATGCACACACACATGCACATACAGCCCTGAGCCCCATCCCTCTCATGGCACTAGAGCAGAAGAGGGGAGAACTGGGCTGTTCTGCCCTCCTCTGATGGCTGCCACCTTGACAAGGACAAGCTCCCTACGCTGCCTTGCAGTGAGGGTGTCATATTAACCCAGGGGTGGGCTTGAGTTGCCCATGGCCACATTGCCTCTTGGTGGCCCTCCCAGGCTCTCCCAGCAGCCAGAAGGAATGACATAGGTATTCCCTTCACGTGTGGAGGCCTCACTCTGTGCCAGGGACCAGGCAAAGCTGGTTGGTATAGGATTACATTTATCTGGAGAGATCTGTGATATTCAGACTTCCCCCAAGAAAACGAGGAGACAATGGCACAGAGGAGCTAAGTAACCTGTCAGAGGACACACAGCCAGTGCGTGATGGGGACAGGACTGAGCCTAGGTCTGCTGGTTCAAAGCCAGGGCTCACAGCCAACAAGGCACAGCCACGACACCTCCTGGCCATGCCCGTCTCCTGCCCAGGGTCCTTCAGTCCCACATGGTGAGGATCTGGGTTCTGTGCAATAACCATGGACATTAGTGTGCACATGTGGGGGCACTGCTGGAGGTGGCCTTGGCCTGAGTCAGCCAGGCCCGTGCCCTCCCAGTCCTGCACTGCTCATTACAGGGCCTGGCAAATGCTGTGAGCCTCTCTCAGACCCAGATGGGAAGACTGAGACCCAGGGAGGGGAGGCGCCTGCCCTTTGTCAGCGGGGCACAGGTGGGGCTAGAGTTTCGTTCTCTTGGGCACTGCCCAGAGTACCCACCTTGAGAGAGCTGGGCACAGGGGCGTGTGGCACCAGTGGCAGGGGACTGAGATCTGCCCCTGGCCTGCCCCGCCATCTGCCTGCTGTCCATGTGCTGAAGGTTGGGGAAGGCTGGGGGTGTTGGGCAGTGGGGAGGCCAGGTCAGAAAAGACTAGCAGCTGCTTTTCCTGGCTGATCCTGACTCAGGCCTGGCCAGACTGATGGAGAGGGCACACTGGGCATAGAGCTAAGGTGGCAGATGGGAGGGGGAGGCTGGGCCAACCCTAGTGTGGGACAACCCCCACCCACACTGCCCTCCTGTCTCAGCTCGGCTGCTCCCTCTCCAACTCTGCGAGTCCCCTTGCTTCTTCTCCCTGCCACAGGGCTGTTCTGTGGCCTTCCAAGATGTGGGCTGATCACAGATGACAGATGCACCTGCTCAAGGGGAACATTAGTCAGCTGGGGCCAGAGGCCCTGGGCAGAGAGCCACAAGGGGACTTGCCCCACACTGTGCCCCATGCTGTGCCCTCCCCCCATTCTCAGGCTCTTGCCCACCCTGGGCACCAGTTCAGGAAGACATGCTAACTTCTCTCCCCTCTTCTGTTTCACCTTGGAAACTGAGAGTACCTTCTTCCCCTCAGAAGCCACAATGGCTGCTCCTGGAAGTCCCTGGGATGCCTGGGGGTGCACCGGGGAGCGCAGGTGGGCTTTAAGCCCCCACTGCTGAGTCAGCAAAACAGCTCTCTGTCTCTTGCAGAAGGTTTTGATAAGACAAGGCAACCTGAATTCAAAATATTGGGGTCCTTTCCTTCCTAACTCTGCATCTGCAGTCCAAAAATGGGAAGCAGCTAGCTCAAGGTCATGTGGCTAATGCAGGAGATGTGACCAGTTGGGGTCTGGCTGGTGTGCACTCACTAGAGGGCTCAGAGGACACAACAGACCACAAGCCCAGGGAGCCAGGCCCGTGGCTGGGATGCACCCCTCCTCTGCCATCTGGTTAAAGGCATGCCCTTCTCCTCCTGCGTCTTCCCACAACCCCCCCTAGGGACCTGCGCTCTGGAGTAAGACAGAGCAGGGTTCGAATGTCAGCCACAACGCTTTGTAGCCTGCAGTCTGGGGCAGGCCTCTGTTTCCCTATCTGTAAAGTGGGGACAATACTAACAGCTGCCTTGTGGGCTCTCTGAGGGTCCAGGGAGATAATGCGGGAGACAATGGCCTGGATGGGGGTTGGCACCCTAAGGCTCCTGGCCCTCAGCCCTGCCCTTCTCCTGGGCTCTACCTGGAGAGTAGAGGCAGAGCCCTTTCTTCCCAGTGCAGCCTGGGGTCTTTTGAAATGTAGGAGCAAATTAGGGCCCATCTGGGACAGTGCCCTGCAAGAAGACTGGAGGCTGGGCAGAAGGGCTCCCAGTGCATAGACTGGGCTGTGAAGACACTCCTGCCGCAAGGGCCTGCGGGTCCGCCACTCCTTTCTCCTAAGAGCTCATGGGATCAAGCTCATGGAGTCCTGGAGCTTCGACAGGCTGTTCCCCTTCTCTGAGCCTCAGTGTCTACAAAGGGAATGGCAGTGCCTCCCCACCTCCCCCTAGGGGAGGGGAGTGTGGGGAGAAGGCTGAGGAGCTGGGCAGTCCTGAGGCATTACTGGGGGGCAGCCACTAACCTTGACCCTCAGGAGTCAGAATACCTCCCAGCCTGAGCTTTGATGACAGTCCCTTCTGCCGCTAGAGAGGAAGATGATTTTTCACAATCTCCCGTTGATCTTGTTGAGAAACCTAGTGATGGCTTCTCCTGGGCTGGGCCTAGCACCAGAAGGTGTGGTGATCCACTCCCCTCCCTGGCTAGGCCAGTCACAGGAAGGCCACTAGCAGATATAAGGACAATGACACCCACTGGGGCCCAGGAGCCGGTGTGGGGGGGTGGAGGGCAGTGTGGGGTCACAATGGCTAAGGGAAGAACCAGATGTACCTGCAGGACTCAGGCCACTCCCTCTGCCAGTCTGGCAGGGGCAGGGGTGGCCAAGCTCCCAGAGTGAACTTTGGCAGTTAAGGGCAGCAGAGGAAAGGCAAGGGAGGGAAGATGGTCCTTTGCTGGTGGACAGAGCTGGCTGTGTGTGCATCTATGTGCAGCCTGACTCTGGAAATTCCCATCTCCATGCAGGGTGGTCATGCAGGGTGGCTCGATGCACCTCTGCCTATGGACACAGTTGCATGTGTCCATGGCTATGCAGTCCATGCTCATACCAATGCCTGGGATGCACTCAGTCTGTGCCACGTGTGGTGTGTGCTTGTGTGTGTGCAGCAAGCGCATAGTGTGTGAGCAGCGAGCACGTAGTGTGTGAGCCTGGGACAAGGTGCTAAGTTTTTCTGCTCTGCCCTGCCTGCGTGGTGGTTGCCGGGGAGACTTGAGGTGACAGGAGAGAAGGCGCATTTCTTATGTGCAATGTTGCCATACTCAAAGGGCTTCACGCCATCACCTCAGCTGATCCTCTTGGCACCCTGGAAAATGGAGCAGACAGAGCAAGGGAGGCCTGGGGTTTGGGGGCAGTGTGGTCCAAGCCAGCCACCAGCCCAGGCTGGCATGCTTTCCTCACAGGTGAAAGAAGCAGGAAGCCATCATCTCTTCAGGGCAGAGATGCTGAGGTGCCATCCCCATATCCGTTCTCTCCTGCACGAAAGACCCTGATTTTACCTGGGTCCTTTTGCCCTTCTTTCTTTCTCCTTCCTGCTAATATGTCAGTATGAGCCCACGTGTGCTGAATGGCGCTCCAGCGGCCATGTTGTACCTTAAGGTAACCTCAAGCATGCCTGACATGCTGCTGAGTAGGTGGCCTGAGCCAGCCCTCCAATGCCCCTCTGGACTTCTGCACGACAGACAAACCCCACCAACTTTGTTCCCTCCACTGCTGTTTGGGGTGTTCTGTTATGAGCAGTCAGACCTGGTCCTGAACTATTCTGAATGTGTGAGCCGCTCACACGGCATCAGGCCAGACCTTTGGAGAGTCAGCTCCAGGCTAGGGGGTCAGCTTATTTCTCCTTCCCTCCTTCTTCCTCCTTTAATTATTTACCCTTCCCCACTTCCCACCACCATTTCTTGAACTCTGTGGCAGGCATTTTCCTTGTGTTCTCTCTCTGACCTCCCCACAGCCCCACTGAGAGGGAATGTGTAGGAAGTGTTCTTGTTAGGGGCTCCTAGCCCTTTCAGGGGAACTGGGCACTCATTCATTACTTGAGTGATTGATTAGAAGATGCATTCATTGACCAGCCTACAAGCACAAGTGGCTCCCTCCCAGGCTCACCCCTCCCCCAACCCCGAGGGCTGAGGGCTCCAGGTTCAGTGTCAGCCATGCTGGCACCTGGCCCAGGGACCTAACTGAGCAGGACAATTCGTGGGCTGACCCCAAGCTTCCTCCTCTGTCCAGCTTCTGTCCCACAAATGCTTAAAACGTCTCCCATCCAAAGGGAGCCCCAGGAGTTCAGCCTCCCAGCCAGGACACCCCAATGCTCACTTTTCCCAAAGGAAAGTGGAACAAGAGGGGATAAGGGTCAAAGAGAAAAGCTTCCTGGTCCAGGACAACCCCCAGAAGCCCCCATTCCTCCACCCCCACGCCCCTCTCCAGAGCAAGACCCCAGTCCCCCAGCACCTACCTTAGCCGGCTGCATCTTGGGCGCTGAAGGAAACTGTTGCCAGCCTCCCCACTTCCCAGCTGAGGCAGACAAGACTGCCCAGGCCGACTGGCAGCTGCCTCATGTTTGCTTGGACCCAGACGTAATTGTCACCAGCGGCTTCTCCTGCCCACCCCTTCCTCCCCTGCGGCTTCTACCGCTCCACCCCTTTGCCTCCTCCCTCCCTCCCTCCCTCCCTCCCCCCCCCGCCCCCTCTCTCTCTCACTCTCACTCTCTCTCTCTCCCTCTCTCTCTCTCCATGGCCCCTAATCCTGCCCTCTCAGAGCCTGTCCAAGCCTCTGTCTGACTCTCCTGGCCTCTCCCCTACCTACCCAGTCACTGATGTCTCTCTCTCTGCCTCCCCTGCCATCTGCCTCTTTCTCTGCTCCTCGACACCCTTCTTGGTCACCAAGGAAGATTGGGGGTGGGGGATACAGGGAGCTGGGGCTGGGGAGAGGGGAGCTTGGGGTAGGAGTTTGTGCCCCTAAGAAGTGGGGAGGAGCAGCAGTTGAGCCCAGAAGAGCCCAGGAGGGACTGGGGAAGTGGAAAAGGAACAGATCATTTCTGGAGGCATTTTCCAGAACAAGCCAGGACTCCCGCATCGCCCCAGTTCTGCCTGCCACTCTTCACAGACACAGGGCAGTGCCACCCTTATCATGATCTCAGCCCAACAGGCTTCCAGGACAGCATGGAGCCACTGCTCCCAGCATCTGAAGCATCCTCCCTCGGGGTCCTGGCCTGAGGTGCTGGTCTGCAAGGTGCTGGTCTTGGGCTCCAAACCCAGAAACAGTGACAGCCACCAGGGCCACATCAGCAGAGTGACACTCAGGGGTCCTTTTGCCTCTTTCATCTGTGATTAACCACCTCCCATTAACTACCTCCATTCATCTGACTCTAAGCGTGGGCATCTCCCCAAAGCACGAGCTGCTCTTGCTCTCCAGCTGTGCTGGGTCCCCTCCCAGCTCCCAGGTCCTGATGCATCCAGGGCTGTTGAGGACCTGACCAGATCTCCTGGGCTGTGAGGGTGGAGAACGGGGGCGAGGGGCCCCAAGCATCCCTGGGGGTGGGAACTCTGTCCTGTCCCTTGGGTGGGCAGCTCTTGGGCATTTGCTTGCTCCCCAGGGAAACCACCCAGGAGCCAGGTGCCTGAAACCTTTGCCAAGTTTCCCTTTTTGGAGCCCAGAGGAGCCAGCCTGTGCCAGTAGTTCCCATGGAGACGGAGCCCTGGGATGCGCCCCTCCTTTGCAGCCTGCACAATTGCACTTGCACGCCCTTTTTCTTTTTCTTTTCATTTTTTTCTTTATTTTCTTTATTTATTTATTTTTATTTTTGAGCCAACCAATTAGCTCCAACTTTCAGATCCTCAGGGGAAGAAAATAGCCTGGAGCTGTCGACCCACCAAGGCAAGGACTGTTTCCAGAAGGGAAGTGGCAGCCCAGGTGTTTGGTCCTGTGTGACTTCAGGACAGGCTGGGCATCACACTGGGGGAAGGGCTCGGCAGAGCCTGGAGGACTCCCAGCTCCCTCCCCCACCCACACTGCACCCTGGGAAGTGGGGGAGGGAGGCAAGGCCCTTCATGGCTGTCAGCTCCCTGGGAGCTCATCCGTGTTTTTTTGTTGTTGTTTTTTGTTTTTTCTAGACAGGGTCTCACTCTGTCACCCAGGCTGGAATGCAAGGGAGGCCTGGGGTTTGGGGGCAGTGTGGTCCAAGACAGCCACCAGCCCATGCTGGGATGCTTGTCCTCACAGGTAAAAGAGGCAGGAAGCCATCTCTTCAGGACAGACCCTTGACTTCCTGGGCTCAAGCAATTCCATTTTAGCTTCCTGAGCAGTTGGGACTACAAGACACAAGCCATCATACCAGGTTAATTTTTGTATTTTTTTGTAGAGATGGGGTCTCATTATGTTGCCCTGGCTAGTTTCAAAGTCCTGAGCTCAAGCGATCCACCTGTCTCAGTCTCCCAAAGTGCTGGGATCCCAGGCATGAGCCACCGTGCCCGGCCGCATCCTCTTTTCACTGCCTGGAACAGTGCTGCTTTTGACTCCAAGCAAGCCTCCACAAGCAGGGATGCATGGAGCATTTTAAGTCCTTATAGTGGCCTTGGGAGAAAAGTGTCATTCTGTCACTCTACAGATGATAATGTTGAGACCCAGAAAAGCTAAAGGACTTGCCCAAGTCACAGGCTTGGGAGTGATAAAGCCAGGTCCCAAAGCCTCTTGCATTCTTTCCAGAGTGAGCACCTTGGGGGGTGAGATCCTGTGAGCAGCTGTATGCCCACGGCTTACACAGCAGCTTGGAAACTTGTTGACCTCACTGCCATGATGGGCTGGTCTTCCTGATGGTCTGGCTGGAGGAGTCAGTAGCAGAGGAGCCCGCTCGCCACAGCAGCACCCCCGAGAGTCGCTGGCCCCTGTTTGGCACACCTGCCTGCTGGCATCCCATACTCAGTGCGCTCTCCTCAGAGTTCACCAGCCATGACACTGCCCTGCCTGGCTGCACCCACCAGTTGCTCGGTCTTGCGAACCTCCCACTGCAGCTACCACTTGGGTGGGTGCCCCTCATAAAATACAGATGTGGGGTATGTGTGCCCCCTGCCACTGCACCCCCCTTCCTCAGTGGCCTGTCCAGGGCCCCAGCCACTTCCAGCTGGGTCCTACCCTGGGCCTGTGGGGAATGCAGGAAGGAGCAGGAGCAGGAAAAAGGTCGGGGGGCGGCTCCCACGTGGCCTCAGCAGCCGCCCTGCTGTGAGCACACAGGCATCTGCAGACTTCCCAGAGATGGCCTTGGCATTCCCAGTGTTCTATGCAGTGCATCGGACCCACAGAAGGTTGAATAGGCTGCAGGAGGGCCTTGTCTCATCCTCTAGGAAAGCTTCAGCCCTGTGTTTCCCACTGTGGTTTCCTGACACAGGGGCTTTGGGGAGAAACCGAGGCTGGGGGGAGTTTGGAAGTGGGAAAGGAAGGGATGATTTCAAGCCGGGATGACAGTTGGGTTTCCTCTGGTCAGTGTTTCAGGAGGCAGTCATGGTCTGTTTCAGCTGGCCAGGGCCCTCACACTTGTCCTACCCAGGCAAGCGGCTCACGGGGCCCCCGCTCACAGGCCTCGGGGACTTCTGCACCTTCCTCCACTGTTGCTCATGATCCCACATTCCAGGCCCAAATTCAAGTCCCTCCTCTCCAGACCCCCAAACCCAGCTCTGTGGAGCCCCCTGCCCAAGACTCTCTTCCTTAGGCCCTATTTTTTGTTGGGTTCTGGCTGAGAGGTATGAGGGGAGAGAGAGAGAGAAGACTGGCCAGCTGTGTGCATCCTGGTAGGAAAATACAAATGGTCCTCATCACTTCACATCACACAACACAGGCTCAGCCCCGTCCAAGCCCATGTCATCGTCAACTCTCCTGCTCTCCACCCAGCTCAGGCTTGGCAGTGGGGGCCTGGGGCGGGCAGCAGGCATGGCAGCCTTTAGCTGAGCTGCACTCTGGGTTTGCACAGGCTGAGAGCTGTCCCTCTTTCTCTGTGGGCTCCTGCAAGGGTCCTCAGAGCCTGGCCCCATGGTCCCTTGACTAGAGTATTTCATGTGGGCCTTGGGGGACCCACAAGCCCCCCGATGCCTAGTGGCAGCTCCACATCCTCTTGGCTGTCAGTTCACTCTCTGGGCAGCCTCCTTTGACTGGACCTAGGAGACTCCCTCCGCGGTCACTCACAGGAGGCCCATCACCTGGGCTGCCAGCCCTCTCCTTAGCTCTGCCTCCAATGCAGCCAGCCTGAATGCCCTCTAGACTTTGCAGTGAATGAGGCATCAGTCCACGGGATTTCTCAAACTAGAGGGGACACTGTGACGCTCTCTGGGGCTTTCTTTAAAGCCCCTTTTCTTGCGACTTGAAGTGAAGAGAGGGTGGCGGACTCCACCCCTCAGACTCAGCTTGCTTCCCTGAAACCTCCCTCCTCTAAGCTTAGCCCCTGACTCGTTGGCTCCCACTCCAGCCCTCAGAGTGGGTAGGTGCTCAGCCACCTCGTCCCTAAATTCTGCTTCACTTGTGGGCAGAGGCCAAGGCCTGGAATGGGGTCCCCCTCTGCACATCCCCTGCCTCCTTCTTCACCTGAGCTGCAATTCTCCGTCAGCATTTGTAAGATGGATGAGCGTGGACCATCCCAGGACGCGTACACCCAGCATGTGCTAGGAAGGGCTAGGACCATGGAGAAGGAGCTTTATTCCAGCAACATGTGCTGTGTGCACCAGGTTGGCCACCAGCCTCCTGATTCAGCTCCTGGCACTCAGGCTAGAAGCGATGGACAGCCCTGACTCAGGGAGAGTAGGGAAAGGGGACTCTGTCCACATCCGCCCAGAGCAGGGCCTCAGGCTGATTCCAGAAGACTCAGATGTGGCCTGAGTGCCACTGTTCTCGGCTGCTTCATTTGGATGAGTGTTACCCTTTTCATTCTGTCCACATCCAGTCTCTGTGCCTGAACTTTCTCAACTGTCAGGCAGGTAAATAACAATGCCTGCCTCCCAGTTAATTCATGGAACGTGCTTCCTGACTTATGCTCAGAGCTCAATAAATAAATATTAACTCACACTGTTTGTCCCTTCAGGTGGTTGGGCAGGCTTTTGCCCTGTCCACGTGGTTCTCCCTTTGTACACCTTGAGCCAGCTGGAGCTGCCCTGAGCAGCCACCTGGGACCTCAGACACCCTGGCCCACCTGGCATTTCTTTGGCAGAATTTGCCATGGGGCCTTCTGCTGGGTGGCCAGTTTGGAGCATCTAGAAGAACTCCTAGCACCCCTAATCTGTCATCCCTGCCACAGGGACAACAAGGACACTTGGTTCAAGTCACCTTGGAGACGGCTCTGCTTCCACATGCCCACAGGGTTTTTTTTTGTTTTTTTTTTTTGAGACAGGGTCTCAAAAAAAATGAGAACTAGCATTGCCTCCAGGAAGAAACCTCCAGGGCCACCAGAACCAGGGGACCTGCTTCCAAAGCCTGGCTGGGCTTTAACTTCTGAGACCCTGAACCAGCCATGTAACTTCCTGGAGCTTCCTCTGTTCAACCAGAAGATAATTTGCTCCCTCAGAGACTGTCATGGGACAGAAGAGATTGTGACCTCAAAGAGGCTTTGTTTCACATATAAAGTAGCATTAGCATTTTAGGATCCCAGCATTT